TAACGGACGACGACGGTCGGAGACGGAGAAGGAGGGACGACGGAAAGGTAGGACCCGACGTAAGACCGTACGGGTACGAGTTACGTACTAGTAACGTTACGAGTGGGTGAAGAGAGGGAGAGTAGGAAGGCAGAGGGTGGGGTAGCAGAAAGGGGGGGGGGGTTTGGGGAAGCCGATGACTCTCAAAACTTCACGAATTTGTCCTTGACCAGCGTCCACTCCATTGACGAAGTCTGAGTCTGCTGAGGGGGGTGAGAGCGGATCTCCCATGGTGTCCACTGAGAGAAGAGAGTCAGGAGTGTCCGTCCCAATGAAGGCAGTAGGGGAAGGTAAAGCTGGTAGGACTGGGAACCAGACTGTCAGCAGAAGTGGGCCTGAAAATGCCCGACGAAAGCCCGAAGGGGTCATTCACAGAAACAGGAGTGGGTGAAGAGAGGGAGAGTAGAGAGGCAGAGAGAGGGGTAGCAGAAAGAGTGGGCGAGGAGTTAGGGAAAGTGTTATGGGGGTTGGCATTGGCAACAGGAGAAGGTGATGCTGGCTCAGTGGGGTGGACATCCCCAATTTCGCAACCAGCGCTGGTCGATGAGAGGGGAGAGTCAGTAGGGAGATGCAGGGGCAAAACAGGGTGCAAAAAACCGAGGGTAGAGTTCAAAGGTGAGGGGCCGAAATTCCTTGAGTAGATGAAAGGATCCGTGGGGGAGGCCAAAGGGTTAGGGTTAAGAGGAAGAGATAGAAGAGGGGAGAAGTGAAGAAGAGAGGTAGCAGGGCCGAAACAGGGTCAATGAAAGGGTTAAGAGTTACCGAAGGCTGTGGGATGAGTATAAGAATAGGCAAGGATGGAACTGAGGTAGTGATGGGGTCACCTGTGAGAGGATCTGCCGGAAAGCCCACCACAATGGGGGGAGGAGCGAAGGGATGGAGAAAGGGGTCCATTGTGGGTGTTTGGGACAAAGTCTCTACTGAGGTAGGGGATACGGTAACAGGGAAAACGGTAACAATAGGAGGAACGACGCTTACAGGAGGGATGGAAACATGAGAGGTTTTGGCGACTGGCATGGTTTCTTCTGGATAAGGGTCAAGGTCGATAAGAGGAGGCGAAAAAAGAGGAGAAGGACCAGACCTTGACAAGGAGGGGATGATAGGGGCAGGGAGGGAGAGGTCTGAAGTCGGAGGGTGGCATGAAGGAGAAGAGGGGGAGGGGAAGGTGACGGAAGATGATTGAGGGAGAGGCGGAGTACGGGACAACACAGAACCTGAAGGAGGAGGGAGATGAAGGGCCGTCGGCAGGGAACCAAAACGAATGGGGATGAGGGAGGGAACAGAAGGAGAGGAAACGTGGAGAGCCTCGGGTGGAGGATAGGGGTAGGTAGGAACAGGAAAAGGGGGGCGAGAAGGGCTAGGGGATGAAGAGAGAGGAGGGGCATCCAAAGGTATTGAACGCTGGGCCAAGGAAGTGTGGAGTGAACCAGGTCTGAAATGCAGGCAGTTGTCTGACGGCGACTTCCTTTTCTCATTCCCCTTAGCAGACGGTGCATTCTTCACCCTCAACAGTTTCTCTAAGCTCTCCTTCAAAGGTGCATCCCTTCACCTTTCAAGGGACGTCCCTTCAAATCCCTTCTCTAAGCTGTCCTTCGAGGTTGAGATGAGTGATTTGAGGGTTTTCCAACATAGGAACAACCTTCTCTAGTGAGTTCTTTAGTTGTACCGGACACGTACAGAATAAGGTTGATACCTTATATAAACTTTTTTCTTATTAGGAACAAAATAAATTTAATCTTTTGCCGGTCTCACTTTTCATCACGCAAATATATGATTTCAGAGCTTCAATTCAGATTTTAAATGCAATAGTTGACTGATCCTGGATTGGTTTGGGCGATTTTGTCCACCTGTTAATATCAAAGAAGTGGCTAGAATCTGACTTCTCTACTGTTTAGACCAGACAGCCTGTAACAGAATGGTGGTCATTCTATACCAATAACTTTTTTGAAAAATAAAGAAAATTAAATTATTCACTGTTCAGTCAAAGTGCTAGTGGTGGATTGTCTGGTTCATTTTATCTTAATAGTATTTTATAAACTAAAAATTAAGTGAGGAAATATTTCTTATCAATAAAAAAATGAAACTAAGATGTAAAATTTCTTTACTGGTGCGTTAATTTTTTGAAACTCAGTTTGATCAAAACAGGCAGAGACTTGTTAAAAAGGAAACAATTATTGTGGAAGAAATAAGAACAGGAAATACTTATGACATTCAGATTTTTTTATTTTTTTTTTTTCATTTTTCTTGTTTTGAGAATCTTGCAATTCTTATGAGATTTTCAAAGAATGGAAATATTTCCCATGTGACCTTTAATTGCTTGGATTGGAGACAGGAGCTGAAAACGGCATGCCAAGTCTGGCTTTTGTCGAACTTTGATTCTCAAGAGGATATTGTGTATCCAAATGATCCAAAAATAACAATCAAGGTTGATGATGACATAAAGCTGCTATTCAGGAGCATCGAGTTGCCAAGAGACATGGTTGACATTGAGAAAGATTTGCAGAAAAATGGCATGAAGCCAGCCACTAACACAGCCAAAAGGAAGGCTATGGCCCAGATTGATGGCATCATTCGCTCTAAGCCCAAGACCAAGAAGAAGAGAGAGCTGAGCAAGAGGACTAAGCTCACCAATGCTCACTTGCCTGAGCTGTTTAGGAACCTTAATGGTTCAGACTCCTGAATTTAGAGCTCTATTTTGAGGCAACTGAAAGATGGCCAAACCCAGTTTCTTTCTTTTTGGGATTTCCATGACGACAAAGAGATCAAACTATTCTGCTATTCGAGAATGGATGCTGTATGGGGGTCGAGATGAAACTAATGTGCACTTCGCGAATGGATGATGTGCTATTAGTAAATAGATTCATCTGGTATGCATCTCTCTCTCTCTCTGTCGGGTTTCCTAATTAATTATTGGGGACTTGTTGGTGGGTTGTTTGGTCCCAGTATGTGAGCCATTTCAACTGGAAATTTAGTGTTGGGATATGGGGCGTTTTCTTCACATGCATGGAACTGCACATATCATGTTTCTCATCCTTTTTTTGTATTTGCTCTGCTTAAATTGTAAGATTTATGCAGTATAGAAAATAAAATTTATATGAGGTGGATGTTCCTGATACTGCTATATAAATCGGCTTGTTATTTCTTGAATATCATTGTTCTAGGACTATGAAGTGGTGTTATTCTGGTGGCAGGGCCATTTTAGTTATTTTTTACCTTGTTTTGCGACTTGCTGGAAACTGGAGAATTCTGAAGATTGCTCTAACCAACTAACAGTGGATTATTGGAAAACCTGGGTCATATTGGTGGCATATATAATATATGTTTACATTTCTATATGGACTTGAATGCCTCTTATGGCAGTCCGTTTTTTGGTTGCTGTTTTGAAATGATGTTTTTTCTTATTATTTGATTTCCACATAAGTTTATATGAATCCAGTCCATACAAGGTTTAAATTTTCAAAAATTTGTAGAATTTATTTATGAATAAAGATCCTAAGAGACCCTCCCACACCCATGTGTGTAGGTCCCCAAAGGATCACAATTAAATTTGGCACAGATCTTTAGAAAAGTTATCACATGGTGTAGAATTTAACTTTTTTAGAGATCTATGCTAAATTTAATGGTGATCCTTTGGAGTCTTACACACATGGGTATGAGAGGGCCTCATAGAATCATTACTCTTTATTTATATATATATTTTTGGGTTGTATTTATTCACTCGTTCCTTTTTATATTTTTATCATCTTTGGACTCCCATTTTTTTATGGGTGCGGCTTGTATAGAACCGAGGCTTTAAACAATCAAAATAAAGCCAAGCTTCAAATACTGTCGAGAAATTTGGTTTCAATATTGCAATTCATTGTGATAGCCTTAAAATATATTTGCATCTTTAATTATAAAATTTAAAGCTTAAAAAATAGTGTACATCAAACATATCTACAAAAACTTGAAAATTTTGAAGACGGTCCAAAAATGCATTACAAGATGTATTATTTTCAAAACTTGAAATCCATTTTTGTTTTTTCATCTCTATGCCTCTCAATGTTCAAATGATCAATTTGAGGATACTTGAGCATCAAAGCCACTTCTTCTAATGAAATTTTTTAGGTGAGCCCATATTTGATTGTTTAGAAATAAACTTTTTCCTTTCCTATTATGTCTATCAAGTTTTTCTCGCTATTTTTGTATCGTTTTAAGAACATGCAAGTTGGCTCATAATTGCCCTAGTTTGTGCTACCTAGTGGATTTTTTTGTTGGATTTCCATACAAAATGTTCTCAGAAAACCAGTTAAGCTGGTTCGGCCCCACCATTGATCCACAGAGTGTTATCAAACATGGAAGGGGGACGATTAACTCCCAGTTCTAGACATTCCCGGTTATCAAACAACTGTTTAGGGGTTGTGGTAGTGGAGACGTTCAATAGAAAATAAGGGCGTGTTTGGACCACGCCCTGATTTATATTCTTTGTCGTATATTTATAGAACAACAATGGAGCTATCATCAAATACGCATTCGGTGGCGGCATTTTCTATACAATCAGGTCCCAAAACTGACACAGGAATGACTGGTATTCTGCACAAGCGATGGGTAGTTATAGTACAAGATCTGTTTATTGGCCCTCCAAATTGGCTCTTAAGATTTGGTGTCTCACTCTTTTAAGATTGTCACACCATGTTTTTGACCTAACTATAATGGGTGACGACGATAGTTAACAAAGAGTTACGAGATTTTTAACAAAACTTTGGCGACAAATTTTTGTTTCTAAAGAAATTGCAAAAACATTAAAGTGAATTAGCTTTTTATATTGTGTACTTACTACTTTAGGCAGAAGACTTACTTTGGGAGGATTTTTTATCCAAAATCTTGGGAACCAACTAAAAATCTCTTAAGTTATGTTCAAAAGGAAAAAAAAAAAACGAATTTTGAGGTTTTTTAACAATTGGATCAAATCTTTCAAAAATTGGGCGGTTTCTAGTTAGTTTTGATTGAATTATTTCTTATAAGCAATTTGGAGGGTTTTTTTTTTTATTGATATCGGTATATCCATCGGTGGATCACTTTTCTATTCGGAAAGGACCTTTCTCAGGGTAAGAAAATTTATTCCCATGGATGGGTTGAGGAGGTTATATATGTAAATTTTGGGGTCCTAAAAATACTCCTAGATTGGTTTTATCTGAGGACAATGTGCATCGAGCATGTAATCTTTTATCATTTCCCTGTTTGTCGGTTAAATTTTTTGCTGAAATTTAACTGGTCTGTTGCTTGGAAATTTATAGAAAAATTTTATTTTATTTTTTATATTTAAAAATAATCTTATGATCTCATACTTTAAATTTAAGTTACACTTTTTATTTTAGTGTGTGATGGTGAGAATTGTGCTTACTAAATTTGAACTTAATCCAATTTATAGAAAAGAGAAAATTGAAATACAAATCATTTTTAAAATTTCAAAAAAAAATAGGATTTGTATATAATTTTCCCCAAATTATATGGGTAAGTATATCACTTTATTATGGAAGTGAAAATGTGAATAAGCAGCAAAATCCAAAATCGATAAGAAAGCAGCTTGTTAGACCCCTATTCAATGACGACTACCTAGTGGTGATAGTGCTTTTCTACCGAAAAAGCATACATGTTGCTTCTCAGGTTTGTAAGATGTGACTAGAGAAAAAGTGAAGTGCTTTTCACTTTTTGTTGGAACATATTGTCTAGGTTTGTAAGATGTGACTAGAGAAAAAGTGAAGTGCTTTTCACTTTTTTGTTGGAACATACTGTCTATTTACTCCCTCGGGTACATCTCAATGTAGGTTATTTTTAAGACCCCCAATTTTAGGGTGATTTCCTCTTCAACCCAATGATTAAAAAAAAAAAGAATTCCAATACAATCTCTAGCTTGAATAACGTCCTATGATGCCAAATGGATCTTGTTTTATATTTTATGACAGATTTCTATATAAAAACTACAAAGTTTTTATTAAGGGGATGAAAAGGGAACCCTCTATTTGCACATGACAAGTACAAAGTTAGAAGAAGAAGAAGAGGGATCCCAACAAATAGAGGATTTATTCAATCATATAGTTTGCGCTTCTAGAAAATGAAACCCTTTTAGTGACCAGTTTGCTTGTATTGTCCAATTTTTGGACAGCCAAGTGTTAAAAGAACTTAAAACTCTGTATGTCAAAATACTTATGTGCTTTTAAGTGGATCCCAAAATTTCAGATTTGAAAAATACTCATTAAGTTCATTACATTTGAAAAGGAGTAGGTGGATCATATATACTCTTAGGGGAATGCAATATATGTGTTCTAAAAAATGGTTTCCAGTTTCACTGATACCACCTCACTAATACTTTCAAAATAGTAACTCCTAAAAATTGAAAAAAAAAAAAAAAAAAAAAAATTTAGGGTATTGGCCTATCTTCCCCACTGAGGGCATGAATATATGCCTGAGTTTTCCCCCGAAAATTGTATTAAAATTGGGTAGGGGCCTATCTTCCCCACTGAACTAGATGAGGGCATGAATATATGCCTGAGTTTTCCCCTTGAAATTGTATTACTTCCGACATGAAAATGACTGTGACTTACTCTCTCGCTCTAGAAAACGACTCTTTCTATTCATTAAACATTTCTAGTTTGCAAGTTACTTGGTGATTGTGACTTTCTTTTTCTTGAAATATTGTCATTCTCTCTCATTGCCCAACACGAGTATGACTTGGCTCCCTGTAAATGCTCTCTCTCTCTCTCTCTCTGGGCTCATGGAAAATTTCTCTCTATCCAGGCTCATGAAAATTGTCAAAGTAGTAGGAGCATGCGTAACGTTATGGTTCTCTTTTTCTTTTTGATCACCTGGATATACTACTGATTCTTTAATGCTTATAGGCCCTGTTTGGTGGGCTGCTAAATGCATTTAATTCTAGTTTTTTATGGGTGTGGCAATGGATTGGGCCTGGGCCAGGCCGCCGCCCTTGGTCCTATCCCAGTCCAAGTCCCCATAGGGTCCAAAAAGGCCATGTCCCAGACCTGGCCCTATCCTCAAGCCGTGGTTGCCCAGCCCTGGGCTGGCCACATTTCATGGACCAGACCTTCATGTTTTAGCGCTGGGCCGCTGGCCCATTGCCACTCTTTTATGACATAACTATTATGCACCCTATACGTTATGATTTTTTAATCCCGCTTGTCTGGAAAAAGCTGCATAGATATATCTCTGATCAAGTTTAACCTCAGAGCCAAAAAAAACTTGTTTTGCCTTCACTCACATTTAATGTTAAGTGATACTCTGCTCCCAAGACATTAACATGCGTGAACATTCAGGAAAAAAAAGGACCTCTACATGAACATGTATGTAAGCCTCTTGTTAAAGTAAATCTATTTTTGAGATAGGATTTTTTTTACCTAATTTTTAAGGATGTGTAACCTTTAACATGGAGATCATGAATATGAATAAATAAATAAAATTTTAAAATGACAAATAATAATTCTTTTAAGAAAATATTTGGACCTTTAGTTTCGGTTGTTTTTAGATGGACCACTTATTTGCATCCATATTTAAGATTGATGCTTTATAGCTCGCGGACAGCAAATGTATAAATGCGGTCCCCACCCCATGAAACAATTTTCCTTTGTAACATAGGGAGGTCGGGTTTTAGACGACATTAAATATTTTGTTGTGAGAATTTTAGAAGAAATATTAAAAGAAGTTGTGCATGGGTCATGCATTGAAAAGATCAAAATAGGAAAGGAGCTGAGTCATGGTGGTTGCACCCCTATATACCTAGTTACCACTTTGTGGTTTTCAATCCTACATACACCATTCATTGACACCTTCAAAAAACTACTTAATCTATATGAAAAAGTGGTAGGGGCTTGTTTTCCCCATTGAATTACCAAAAAAATAAAATGCAAAACACTGTAAACATTGGTATCTATGACATAGGTCATACTACACCTCTAATGAGTCTAACTAAATGTTACTATTGGGCTTTCCATATGCCTTTTTTCATCTTTTTTTTAGGTAGTTCACCTGGGTAGGGGTCCCCTTCTCATAATAAGAATGAAATACAAGATGTCATATTTTGGTGCTCTACTACCCTAACCACCTAGCGTCTCAAGCTCAAGCCGAGGCTTTTTTTTAATATTATTATAAAGAGTGTTGTTTCTATAAGGTTGCAACTTTAAACAATCCAATTAAGGTGTACCTCTAAATTTAATCATAACATGTAATTTTGGTGTAAGAAATTATTAAGGTTATCTTAAATCGATTTTCATATCTAATTATACAATTTTAAACTCCAAAAATGGTTAAAGTCAAGTAGATCTATAAACATATAAAATCCTTTAAAATGAACGGTCTAGATAATATGTTGCAAAAAGTACTATTTAACTCAAAATCTTTATTTTGGTTATATTCATATATCTCTATACCGAGATAATCAATTAAAGGGTTTTTCAACATTAAAATAACTTTTTTCGATGGATTTTTGTGGTGCATCCGTATTTCTAAATTTTAAGGTTGCAACCAAACATGAACTTTATCTTGTTATAAAAGATTTGCCATCAAAATTTTGGCAGCTTTTCAGTGACTTAAAAAATGTCGGTCGAATCATTGAAAGCCACATTGCATGTACCGAGATGATCAACTAAACATTAAAACAATTTTTTCCTATTGATTTTTGAGGTTCATCCGTATTTCTACGTTTTAAGGTTGCAACTATACCTAAACTTTATCTTATTATAAAAGATGTGCCATCAAAATTTTGGCAGCTTTACAGTGACTTAAAAAATGTCGGTCGAATGAGTGAAAGCCACATTGCATGACTTTATTTTTAACAGAACTCTGGAAATTCTCACACAATAGTACAACAGTCAAACAAGCTTGAGAGTCCATAAATGTGAGTTATAAGAGCCTACGAATGTGACTAAAGGCGGTCTATGAAGGTGGGTTTGATACAAAGTTTTCAGTACTTCGACGCGGCTTCTTTCTCTTTCTCTTCAATTGTTCCTGGTCATGTTTCATTATAAAGCTTATGCCCACAGATAAAACGTGTTCCTTTTGTTCACTTTATTTTTGTCTGTGCCAAGGCCCGTTAAATAAATAAAAGGAAAATGGTTTGATAGGGCTGCCGTATCCAAGTAAGTAAAACTTTCATCTTATAATTCATCGAAAATTACAATTCAAGCATTTCAAAAACTTTGACATTGATCATCTTGGTTTGAACACTATGTTTGTGGAAAAACATTAGTATTTCAAGTTCTAAAAGTAGTGTATATTATAACAAATTATCTAGACTGTCCATTTCGCCCTAAAAATAAGTGTACATAGATCCGCAAGATCTTCACCATTTTTTGAGTTTCACATTTCATGGTAGGTGCTGAAAATTGATTTTAGAGTCATCATAGAGATTTTCATTGCCAGAAGTTCTTTCCCGACAAGGATTTGAGGTGAGGCTTTATTTTGTTTTCATAAAACCTAAGCCTTATTAAAACCTCATCCCGAGCCGTAGTATGTATGTGTGTCTCAATTATTTGCAATGAGCACTCATTCACGGTGCTTTCCTTTAACCATCTCTCTCTCTTCAGCCATTCATCATGAACCAAAAACAGAGACAAGGGTCCAGTTAATAACGCACTACACTTTGTAAAGGACGGTTCAAGTTTTGCTTCCTTTTTTTTCACTTTTTCTTCTCACTCTTTCTTCTAATTGATGAACCTCATATGAGGGGCCAATGTGTGTGCGTGTGGGGAATGTTGCTCCCTGAGTGCTTGTCATGTCAAGTTTGGGGTGATTTGTGAAGCCTTGTTAGCCTTTGAAAGTGCAATTAGGTTATTAGGCTTTGAGAGTGCAATTAGGTAATCATTTGAAGTTAGAGAGGCGCAAGTCCTCTTTGTGACCCCCCCTTTCACACTATCTCTATAGCAGTCTTCTCAAACCATCTCTAAATGGAAATCTTCTACACAAACTAGAACTAATCTCTCTTTCATACACATACACATACACATACATGCGCGTAGATCTAATCTCTCTCTCTCTCATACACATACACATACATGTGCTTATGCCCAACTTGTTTGCCTCTCTTTCTCCTTCTCTTTCTCTGTCTCACCCGCATACACACATACGCAAATCAACAAGATAAAGACAAAAAGAAAGAAATACAAAAGAGACTTGTTGATTGCCAAAACATACTCTTTCATCTTCGACGGCGCACGCCCTCATCCCCCCTCCCTTTCTCTTTTCCTCTCACATATTTTTTTTGTTTTTGCTTTTTGTAATTCAGTGGGAAAGACAGGCCCTACCCGTTTTTTCAAGTAGATTAGGAATTAGTTTTTTGAAAGATTTAGTGGGGTAGTATTAGTGTGGGATTGGAAACCACAACATAACTAAGGTGTGGAGATGCTACTACCACGACCCTCTCTCTCTCTCTCTCTTACATGCATGTGTCAATATGTTCCTCTTATATGCGTACCTGTGCAAGCACTTGTGTATCCGTTTCTCATATGTGCATTCACAAATAGAAAAATTCTTTATACGGGACCGGGGGGGGGGGGGGCACATATCTACATTTGCTCCCCCAAGGCATAGGACATCCATCTTAAAGATGGATGTTACTTGGTATTCCCTCTTGGAAAAATAAAAATCAATAGTCTATAAAGTTTCTTTAAAAAATATCATTTTTAGCTTTTAAAATTTATTTTATTTTACACATTCTTGATCTCTATATCAGAGATCATATACATCTTAAAAGATTTGGTCCAAAATTCATCTCAAAACTAGATTTTAAAGAGGGGACACATAGTGCACATATGAGTCCTTGGACTCACAGAAACCCAAAATCCATCTCAAAAATAGACTTCAGAGGGGACGCATAATGTACATCTGAGTCCTTGGTCTCACAGAAACCAAATCCTTCACAAATTCATGTACTTGCTCTTGAAAAGTAGTCTTGCCTAATTTAGACTACTCCCACTCTTTTGTGTGAATTGGGGTGAAAATAAGTGGACCCAAATAGTCTTATTGCTGTCCCCAAACAAATTGCTGATAAGTGCAAGCACTCTAGCCCCCACTACAGAAAGCCCCTCCCTTCTTTATGAACATCTGTGCCATCTTTTGTTGGTTCCCTAGGGGCTATGGGGTGCACATGGGTCTACCCCTATGATTGACTCTGTTCCCTTTTCAGGTTCTCTAGTGCAAAAAGTGATCGCTTCATTGGAGCCCCACTTCCATTTTCTTTTCATCCTTTCCAATTTTTGCAAAATCATTGAACACTTGGAGCCCCACTTTCATTTCTGTTTTCCCATTTAATTTTCCCACAGACTCATTGCACAAATGCAATCCCCATTCAAATAAAAGCTTCCAATACACAGCAATCAACTCCACTCACTTACTTTATTTCATTTTCATTTAGATTTTGTGATATTAAGAAAGAGAAAGTGCCCTAGCTAATGGATGGTGTCACATTGGCAAAGAGCTGCTACTTGAATGCTTGTGGGGTATGCTTGCAAGCACAAAGAAATGAACATGAAATTTACCTCTTTATAACACCAAGAAGCCAATTTATTATTACAAGTGAATTTTCAGTACACCAATTGTTCATTTTATGAACACATGTGAATTTTCACTACACCAAGCAGCCAACTTATCATTACAAGTGACTTTTCAATACACCAACTAGCCAATCTATAATTTCATGGGAATTTACAGTACACCAAGTGACCAATTCTATGATTACTTGCGTATTTTGGCAAAGTCAAGTGACTTCTTGCCCTCAAGCTTATTGGTGACATAGTATCGGCTGTAATCTCCATGATTGTAAGTCCGATACTTGGCGAGGTTCTTGTCATCAATGAATCTCGGGAGGGGACCGATGTTGATGTTGTAGCTTGGGGCATAGAACGTAACGATCGAAAGCCTATCCTTCTCCTTGTTTGTCACCACCCTGTGCTCAATGCTTTGGTACTTTCCATTTGTTAGAACCTGCAAATTTGCATGATCAGTCAAAAAATTTCATCAAGAAACAAGAACAAGTTTTGGCCTAGAAGAGTAGTTATGTAGTTCTCAAGATCTATTAAGATGTTTTTGATATATTAGAGTACAAGAGGAAATTTACATGAATTGGCATATATTTCATTTGGACATAAGTGTCTGCAATCCTTTTACCATTATTAACTTTTGCATAAGCATTAATTTTGAAGTGGGGCTGTTTGTCTAGGCTAGTTCACAAGGCGTCTCATGGCTTATGTTAGCACAATACTGTAGACAGACCCAATAAGAAAACTCCCATCTTTAGGGAAACTTTTCCATCTCCATTGAAAAATAATCATCATTAATCTCACCAAAAGTGATTAGCATAGGGGGTTAAAGATGTTTTAAAGTTTTAAAATTTTAAAGTAGATCCAAAGTAACAAATCTTCACTCAAAAATACAAAAGTTGGGTGATTTCATCCATCTCTAGAACTTGGCACAGTCTTTGCATGTGGACATAGTTTCTGCATATGTCATACTCCTTTATTGAAGCAAGTTGCTTTTGTTAGTCTTGTTAGTGATGATACTAAAAGGGTTGATTATTCTAATTCCTTGCTTTCTCTATTCAATCTTCTCTTTTCACTGTGAATAGTTGATAAACTTTTCACTGTGAATAGTTGAGAAACCAAGTGTTAGGAAAGGGTCCTGGAAATTAGTTTTCATACTTCGATCGTGTCGCCGATATTTATAACGAGGGCACCTTGGAGGGGCTCGACTAGGACCCAATCGTTTCCCTTACGGATCTGAAGGCCAGCTGAGCCTAAGTCTTGTTGCAAAACTGTGATTGCACTCCCATCAGAGTGGGGGCTCAATCCCAAGACCAGGTCTGGTCTAGGGCATGGTGGATAGTAATTCATCCTCACTGCTTGCACTGCCTCACCAAACATTTCATTAAACATCTCTTCTCTTAAACCCAAGCTCCTTGCAATGGCCCCTAGTAACCTTTGACAAAGCCTCCTTATGTTCATAGAGTAGGTCTCCAAGGTCTCACTGCAATGTTACAAAAAAACAGATTAGAATAATAGACAATAATAGTGGTGGAAGTTGAAGTACATTATTAACAATAGTAGTACATAAATACAGGCAAAGGAGAGGCTTTCCTTAAGGTATATGTGTTCATTGGGAATATTGATTCATTACCTAAGTTGTTGTGGTTTCTTAGGCCATAGGAGAGGATTTCTTATATGGTGGGGGTGGATCCCAAGAGCCAACATGTTGCACCAGTCAAGTTTCTGGTCTTCAGAGAAGATGAAAGCATGGCCATAGCCTTGCACTGTCCCTGGAGCCATTGGGTACTTTTCTTTCTCTTCCAATGGCAGCATAAAAAACTCTTTTGCCACTCCCTCCATTTTCTCCAACAATGCTCTATCGACTCCATGATTCACAACCTAAAAAACACAATAACATAAATAAAATCATTCCCAAACCTGTGCTTTAAACAACAAAAACAGTAGCAGCAACTGTTACTACTACTACTAATAGTAAGTAGAAAAGAGAATGATAAAGAAATATTGTGGAGTTTGGTCATGACAACATGATAGCTAAGGGCAAAATATAGAAAGGAAATCTGACCTGGAAGAAGCCCCATTCTTCACATGCCCTTGCTAGTTTTGCTAGCTCATTTTGTGACTCTCGGCCTAGTAATCTCGACATGTCAATTACCGGGACTTGGGTCGTAGAACGATTAGTCGGGACCCTATCAGGCCTCTCACAATGATCACGCACATACCTCTCAGGTACAACAGCCGGTCTGGTTCTCCTGAGCTCTTGGACATCATCAACATGGCCAATCTTGATCCCTTGAGGAGATCTTATGGTGGTTGCCATATAAACTAATAGTTTAAAATGATAGCTGCAGTATAACAAACAAGTTTGTTAACAAATGTTTGAGCTACTTCATTCTCATGAAGAGTGCATGGGACTATATATATATTTGTGTGCATATATGCATATATGTGTATCAATCATGGATGATGTCACCCCCGGTCGCATCGCCGCCAGTTGCATTTTCCGTGAGGGTTGACGTGTCGCATCCTCCTTGAATGCTGTCATAATCACTTTCCAAGAGACAATAATGTCCTCAAATTTTATGAAAAATAGCAAAAGCTACAAACTTCCCTGTAAAGACTAGTGTTGGAGGATGCTAAATCATTTAGTCCTACTATGCATATGTAGCCCAAGAGGATGTTAGAAAAAGAGAAAAGAAAAAAGAGAACATAAACCAGAAAGAATCACCTTTCATCAACTTGAAGTTTATCATTGTGCATGACTTATGTGATTATAAAATAACAAATAAAACAAAGTGTGGAGCCACCAAAACAAAATTTTTGGCAGTTTGGGAATCCTTCAAAGCCAATAGATTTCATACTCCCATTGGACTATACTGTCCATTTATTTCCTTGGCTAAAACCCAAATGTAGGAGTAATTTTATGATTCCAAATTTTGGAGATGTGCCTCTTCAATCCCGTAGATTAATCTCAATAAAAAAACTTTTCAAAGCACTTTATATGCCCTTAAAAAAAAAATGTCAATTAAAAAACTTTTCAAAGCACTTTATATGCCCTTAAAAAAAAAATGTCTCAAGAATGAACTGAGACCATCAAATATTTGGAAGGTGAGATCCAAGTCTCAGGAAACTCTTTTTTTTTATTTTTTATTCAAAACTGGTGATCCTCGTATGGTTCTCAAAATTTCAAAACAAAAAAAAATCCTTCCACTAGTTCTTGTGACCAAGGGAGTACAGGTGCTTCTCTACAAAAGCCTTGGGGACACAAGTAATATTTTCCCTAGGAAAAGGGGCATGTTTGCATTGAATGAAGCCAGCCAATATAGTTCTAGGGCACAAATTCCTCTGCTAAAAGTGTGGGTTATGAAAACCAAGGGCATTTATTCAAGATTCCCATCCTTACTATAATTGGTCCCCCATCTCCCGACCATAATGCACATACATTTCTTCATAGGCACTTTTCATTTATATGATTAAAATAACCTTCATACTATGAGTGGGGTTGAATGCTCTTACGTCAATACACGTGAAAATGACCATTATTTATGGATTCTATGAAAAATAAATTAATAAAAATACAAACCATACTAAATACCAAGGCTTTTATGTTGGTCCCAAAAGTGTAGGTTATGGAATCAAAGCCAGTTGGGAGAATTCTTAAAGAGAAAAATGATATTTCAGAAAATTCACAAAGGGAAGAGTGGTATCTTTGAAACCATAATTCCTTCCACTCCATTGATTCACCCACAAGAGGATGGAATGTTCTACTAACAAACAAAGCTGCAGAATCAAAGCCACTTGGAGCGAGAGAGAGAGAGCTATCGAATGATCTTCCTAGGGAGAGAGACACTGTGATGGTACCTCTCGCAAAGTGAGAGGCCAATTTCTTGTAGTCAATCAGTTTTTAGAGACGATGTGTGGTAGCCCTTTTAGTGAGAAAAAGCCTTGGTTGTTCTGAACCAATGTTGTCAAATTCGCTTCGTTTAGGTCGAAGAGGCAGGATTCTTTAGATTTTATGTTAGACTACCGATAGGCGAAGCTTGGTGCTGCCGCTTTTAGTCAGATTCACACCGCTTAGGTTAGATTCGACCGAAGCTTTGTCTTCTTCGACCCAAGCAAATAAATATTTATATAAAAGTATTTTAATTTTAATTTTTATTGGAATTTTTATTTTAATTTTTTTATTATTTTTATATATTGGTGCTACCATTTCGGTCTGATTCGAGTTGCTTCGGTCGGATTCGGGTAGATTCAGTTGAAGCTTCGGCTAGCAAGGAAATGTTATATTAAAGTTTTTTCTTTTGAAAATTTTATTTCTAATTTTTTCATTATTCTTATATATTTCTATATATAAATATGTAATTTATTTTTATTAAATTAAAAAAAATTAAAGTCTTCCCCTGAATTGGTCGAAGTACCGAATTGTTTTATTTTTCTCATCAAACCGAAAAAGACTTCGAAGTGAACCTGACAACATTGCTCTCAAGGCTCTCTTTCTAGACAATGGTTCAGCCGGGGAGCGATCCATGTGAGATGTTGGTTGGAAAGATGGTTTAAAAGAGTTGCTTGACTAGTGTTTATTGATGACTAGAGTTCCAAAATATGTTATGTGGACCTGGAAGCGGTTTCACGGGCCTAATCGGTAGACCAGCCGATTCAACTGCTCTAACCGAGCAAGTCCCAAGCGGTCAAAAAAGTGTGAAAAAAAAAAAAGTATAAAAAAAATCTACTAAAATATGAAAAGCATATAAAACTGATTAAAACTAAACACATTCAAATGAAGTTGAGAATTAATGAAAAAATTGATTTTAACCCATTTTATATTTGTCAAGGGCTATTTTTATTTTTTTAAAAAAGATGGGAAAACATAAAAGTGAGTATTAATGACCAAAATTTTTTTTAATCTTTACCATAATGTAAAGAATATTTAAAAATGCATTACAAATCAAATTCTTTATTTTTGAGAATTTATATATATTTTTTGAAAATTTTTTTAATACCGGTTGACCACCTAACCACCCAAAATCGAAACCGGCCACTGACCGATTCCAATCTAACCGAGTAGTTAGCGATTAGATCGGGCGATTTTGCGAACAATAGTAAGTAGCTCTTTTGTGGTAAGCCACATATATCATTCTCATGTTGTATGCATGTTTTTATGCTTTATTTCTCATTATCATGTTTGATTTCCACTAGCCAGATTTATCTTTTTGGCTGGTTAAGCACATGATGAAATCCTAATATTATAAATAGTGCACGTACTATGCTCCTGCAGGGGCATAGTGTATATCTAATCCCTATCTCAGAATACCTAATTGGGAGGATCTTTTCAATATGAAATTATGGGTATCACCTAAGAATCATTAGATGATTATTCTCGGGAGAAAATTTTTGAAATTTGAAGTTTTCTGACACTTAGATCCCATCATCTAAAAATTGGAGGCACCTATTTAATTTTGAAACATAATTTTTTTTTTCAAGTGCGTGTAGGGTGCAATGAGATTAACCTATGGGCTAAAGAGGTTATATCCCCAAAATATGGGACCTAAAAATTAATCCTGCTTTTTTATGTGTTTTTACCTGAGGTATTAAACTGACAATACACTCCCACGGGACGATAATATAATTTGGAATTATAGATTTTGCATATAACTATATAAGATAGTTGTTAAAACCTAGCAATAGAAAAAAATTGCTGCATAGTCAAAGTTGGTGGAGAGAGAGATCTTGTAGTATATTGACATTTCCTTATTAATTCCGAGCTTTGATTACGTGCCCAATTTTTTAGACTAAACCCTAGGAAACAACCAAACAATGTTTGACACATGTTTGTTGGTGTAAACAGATTGAATGAGGCTTTCATCACCATGTTGTGAGCTCACGGCACATGATTCAGTCACTCAGTTATGGTTTTTGTGGAAGGAGCACTTGCAAGCTGTCCACTCTCTTAGTGCAAATCAACCTATTAAATTCCTCTTTCTTTTTCTTTTTTCTTTTTTTCCTTTTTATGACGATCTTTTTAGGTTTTTGCATCCAAATGTCATGTCTAGAAGTTCATGGAGGATCTTTGATTTCAACTTTGATTCTCAAGTTATTTAATATTCATGAACATGAACTAGGAAAAGGAACATTCACCCATCAGATCCTTGATTTTTCTTTCTAAACCACGAGGAAATCAGTCTTCTCTCTCTTGAATTGCTCTTTATTTCATGTTGCCTATCAGATTCCTTAAATTACTATTCTAGTTTTCTTGATCCCTAGAATTCTCCATGGGGCAGTTCAATTTTCAAGACTTGAGGAAATTGCAATTCGCTCAATTGCATAAAGAGGCGAAGAAACGTTCCTACTTAGATTTATTGCTAGTTTCTTCTATTTTGTTTTTATTAATGAGCTGTAACTCCATTTTAATAAATAAAAAGTAACTACTCTTGTCAAAAAAGAAGAATGGGAAATTACAGCTCTCTCTCTTTCTCTTGAAAATGCTCCTTATTTCATATTTCCTATAAAATTGGTATGAAAATATTTTCACACTTGACCGCACAAGAGATCTTTTTCCTGAAAAAATATTTTCTAGAAAATATTTTCACATGAACCAAACGTGTCATCTTGAATTTCTATTTTAATTGATATGTTTTCTTCTTGAGTTCTCGACAAGGCAATTCAATTCTCGGGCAGGCTTTCTATGCTTCCTCTAGAGCATAAAACTTATATACTTCCCCTTATCCAACCGTCCATTCTGAATGGAGGGTTAAGATTGCCCCAATCGCAATGTCATGTCTTTACACTATTTTATTTTTAAATTTTTTTCTATAAACTATTTTGACACCAAATTTTGGACATCCAATCCTCTATTAAACTCGCACTAGCGAAAAACATTAAAATAAAATTCTAATAAAATAAAATCACTAAAATACTCTTGAAAGATTCAATAGGTATTTTGGTCATTACATTTTTATCAAAAAATTATTTTAATATTTTTTATAGGTGCACCCCAATGAGAAGATGATGTATACGAAATTTCATATTGATATAATTTGTAAAAAAAAACTAAAAATAAAATAATTTGAGACGTCGGATCTAAGATCAAATGATGAGTGGTTCTCTTGATCAAAATTGGACGGTTGGATGGTAGAGAAAGCATATATCTTCTATGCTATGCTGTTGGGGAAGTATAGAAACCTTTCCCTCAATTATGTAAGAACGTACGTCCAAACCTGAAATAAGTTTTGGTATTAAAGCAATGCTTTCTTCTTGAGTTCTCGACAAGGCCATTCATTTCTGTGCAAGAAAGTAGGTCCAAACCTGAAATAAGTTTTGGTATTAAAGCAATGCTTAAAACTATAGATTGCTGCTGCAGATCGTTCACCCACCAATTATGTGTCAAATTACCAGGTCGATCAGTCGGGATCGGCAACCCGGCA